AGAATATATATATATATATATATATATATATATATATATATATATATATATATATATATATATATATATATATATATATATATATATATATATATATATATATATATATATAACTTTTTATTTTATTTCATTATTATAATGATTTACAAATACATTAATTAAATTTTGTTTTCGACCGCAAGTATATACCAATCGCTCGTATCCTGGTGGCTTGGAGTCCGACAGATCTGGAGGATTGGGTCCTCGAGTTGGTGGAATGTATGACCTCTGTTGAGTGCGTCCGACTCTAGCTTTCGAGGTTGAGGTGGGTCGGTGTCTTTGGATTCATATCTTCTTTGAGAATAGGTTAAAAATATGATGCTAGAATCACTTATCAAATTCTTAAGGTCTAAGTAACGCTTTTTAATATCATCATTTTCCTTGATTAAATTAGAACTTAATTTAAATAACTGCTTATATGATAATATTGTTACATCATGGTCATCTTTTTTGTGAGATAATTTCAAATATATTTCATCATCCTCGCTAGAAGAAGATGCTTCAAAGGTTCTACCTGAGGTTGACTCTTCGAGGTTCCTCCTTGATGTTGAATATTTGTTATTCATACAGGCTTTATTCTCCTTTCTTTTCTCAAAGATTCCACTAGATGAAACTGCCTTTTCACTTAATGTTTAATCTTCCAAGGATCGTTCAACTACTGAAATTGTTATTTCACAGGAGATTACTGGAATTGATTTGACTGCATAGGAGTTGGTTAATGAAGTTACCAAATATTATTTTAGAAGAGAGATAACACCGATAACTTATAGAGGTTCATCCTAAATGAAGTAACATACTCCTCTCACCAAGAATTGACCTTGAGATTATCTAATAATGCTTAAAATCTTTTAGAATGTTAAGCCCATGAACCCACTTATACAAGGAAAAATATAGTTTTATATTTACTTCCAACTGAACAACGAACAATGGAATGAAGCAGTTGGCCTTCACACCAAACAGGAAACAAATTTTTGAGTGGTTGGTCTCTAAGCCAAATTGAGATTCTGCACAGACTTACCTCAAACCAATGTGGAGTTTTGAACTAGTTATCCTATGAACTGAACCGGGGTTTTACACAGTCTGACCATAAACTAAACCGAGATTTTTACGTGGCTGATCTCAAACCTATTGAGCTTTTACACAGTCTGAACTCATAAGTCAAGAGAGATTTTATACCGGGCTGATTTCGAACCGTTGTGAATATTTTTCTCTGCTCCTTTTTCACAAGCCTAAATGGAGATTTTTTTCCTTATGTAACTCAACTCACGAACCAAACAGAGACTTAATGCGAAATCTCCTAAAAAGAGCTTTTAATGGGTATAGCTCCAAACCCAAACAAACAATTCCTATAGAATAATAACTCACCTAAAATGAAAAAGAACTCTTGAGGAATTTACAACAATGCCCCCTTCCTTAACAACTTCCTCACTAAATATAAGAACTTTTTCTCAAAGCCATATGGTAAAAAATATGTGAGAAAATGAGAAAATATTTTAGAGGGAGAAATAAAGATAATAAGGCGAGATATCTCACATTTCTGGATGTGGAAAAATGAACATGAAGGTCTATATTTATAGGCCAAAGGATGGTTCACAAAAGGAAACAATCTATGGACAAATTTGATACATGACCGATTTGGTCTTGATTCTAATCAATTAGATGCTACAAATAATTGATTATTTGTGCCCATTTTGAAAGTTTATGATAGATAGTTTTTACCCATAATTAAGATACTACCATAATCGATCAAAGACTGGATTTCCCTTATCTAATCAATTAGGCCCTTGATCTAAGCGATTAGGTCACTCAATTACTAGCCCTAACCAATCTGACAATTTCTAATTAATATGACTAGGATCTAAAACATTTTTGGGTGACTTTATTTGAATAATAGAGGCTTAAAAACAATTTTAGTTAGTGTGTAATTTATCCATATTACCATATGAAGACGGCCTTGTGTTTTTACAAAATACTTATCACTTAGACACGATCAGACGAGCTTTCACATTTCCACTCTTTCATACTATGGAGCTTTAAATCAATTTCTATACACATCAATCATATAAGTATGTGACTTGAATCTTCATGGAGACTAGGTTTGAGATATCTTCAAAGTCTAACTCTGTCATCAGTGAATATCATAGTGATCATAAAATCCTACTTCTTTAGCTTGATTTGTAGGAACAACTTGATCAACCACTTTTAGAATCTTTGACCACTTGAAATAATTTGATTATCTTTATGCTTTGTCCCCGTGATCTTTTTAAGAGTTATTACAACCTCGAATGTTTTCACACTTTAACTGCTTCAAGTGTTGTCATCATTAAAACCATGATGTTAGCATGACTAGGCATGTCATAGTTGTTTATGAGCTTTAATCACTTCTTGATTAAACCTACAAGTAAATAGTGCCACAATATCTTCTCACACTCATATAAAAAATTAGGTTGCTCCATCTCTTCTAATCTTGAACCAAACACTTTTAACTAAGCCAACAAACTTGACTGTTGGAAAAAGGCCACGAGTGTTAAACTACAAGCTCTTTCTGACAACCAAAATTGGTATCTTGTTTATTTACCACGTGGAAAGATCCCAATGTGATGTAAGTGGGTCTATAAAATAAAATATAGTTATATTGGTTGTATTGACATGTACAAGGCAAGGTTATTTGCAAAACATTATACTCAACTTTAAGGTCTCGACTACTTTGACACATTTTATGTTGTGGAAAAAATACAACTATTAGAGTCCTTATTTCATTGGATGCAATCAAAGGCTGGAACTTAGCACAGTTGGATGTCAATAATGCTTTCTTGCATGGTGGCCTCCAAAAAGAAGTTTACATGACCCTCTATTCAGGATATTGTGCATCATTTTATTCTCAAATATGCATGATCCACAAATTTGCTTATGGCTTGAAGAGGGAAAGTAGACCATGGTATTGAAAGCTCTCTTCCCTTATGCGCTCTATTGGTTTTACATAATTTGAAGCTGATCATACACTCTACACCAATGCCACTTCATCCAATTTCACTATATTGTTAGTTTATGTAGATGATGTTGTCTTAGTTGAGAATTTCATCATTGAAATCAATTCTGCCAAATAGGGCTTTGACACCAAGTTCAAAAATCAAAGATTTGGGTCATTTGAGATCCTTTTTAGGGTTTGAAATATCCATAAGCAATTTAAAAATCTTCTTCAATCAAAGACATTATATCCTTAAATTATTGCAAGACATATGGCATCTTGCTTCCAAACTCTCTTCCGTTCCATTTGATCCTTCAGTCAAACTCTCTGCAGCAGAAGGTATTCCTCTCTCTGACCCTACAATTTATAACAAATTTATTGGCAAACTGATTTATCTTACCAATAGCAGGTCAAATATCTCTTTTGTTTGCAACACCTTAGTCGGTTCTTTTCACAAACCTCACATTCTCCACTACAATGCAACTATTAAACTCATGAGATATTTAAAACTCTCTCATTCTAATGACATATTTTTCTCTACTCATTTTAAAATACATGCTTTTGTAGATTCTGACTTTTCTAGATGTCTTGATACAAGAAAATCTATCATATGCTTTTGTGTATTACTTAGTTCCTCTTTGATCTACTAGAAATCAAAGAAGCAAAACACTAAATCAAAATCTTCAACTGAGGTAGAATACAGAGCATTGATATCCTTGACATGTGAGCTGCAATGGCTTCAAAATTTATTTAAAGACCTTCAAATCCACTTTTCAACACTTACTTTTGTTTATTGTGACAGTCAATCAACAATTCATCTAGCATTGTCATCTAGCACGCAATTCAACATTCAATGAAAAGCCAAAGCATATTAAACTTGATTGTCAAGTGATTTGTTAAAAGATCAATTCCAAACTCATACACCTTCTTCTTGTTTCCAACACAAATAAGTTGGCAAATGTCTTTACCAAGTACTTGCATTCATAAGCCTTAGCTTCAATTGTATCCAAGCTAAAACTTTATAACATACACAATCAAACTTGAGTGTGCTAAATATATAGGGCTCATTTATTTTCTTTTTAGTCTTTTAGGCCCATTAACCAATTGGTTATGTTTGTTAGACAATTGCTAAAGCGAGCTGTATTTACTCTTTTAGTGTTCTTAAATCTATTGATATAAAGGTTAAGTACAATATCAACATTTATAGTTCTTAAATATATTAAAATTATAATAATTGAGTCACGTAGTTTTCCACATGATTGCTATAATTACATATATGTTAGATTTTTTTAAAATGTATTTTGTTTTAGAAAGAACTAAAGTTGTTAACGATTTTTTGTTTTTGTTTTTTAGAAGTGATACTATCTATGTTGAATTGAGTTACATTAAACTTTTTTGTTTTAATTTCTTCAAGATCAAGATTAGACGCTAATATGAAGAGTTGAAGATAGAATCTAAAAGATGGACGTTTGGCTATTAAGTGACTATGATTGTTTTTTATTTAATATTATTTATTGTTTAAAGGTTTTGCACGCCTATTATAAGATCAGAATTCAGAAGGCTGTTTTTTTGGTTAGTATTAGTATAATGTTCTAAAACATCTTTAATGGAAGTAAACTAAATTGATAATTTAAGATATTTTTTGTGGATCCAAAATATTTTGTAGGATTTAAAAAATTTATAGTTGATTTGAGTAGTTTTTACTTTAATGATGGTTGTCTATAAGAAACCAAAACTTGATCCCACATTTTATATTTTTTATTCAAGTTACCATTAATTTAATTATTTTAATTAAAATACGTACAATTTTTTAAATAAAATTTACCTTAAAAACTTAGAAATAATATTAAATATATTTTATTATAAAATTAAAAATGATACAAAATTCACAACAATAATACATAAAAAAAAATTACATTTTCATAGGAATATAAAATAATACATGACAATATGCAACAAATTATATTTTAATAGAAATATAAAATAAGACAAACTAACTTTCGTTGTTCTCATGACCAAATCTCTCCCAAATATGTTCCACCAAGTCTGCTTGAAGTTGGCGATGATTTTGCCTTTGATGAACATGTGTTATCCTTTCAAACATTGTTGTCAAGTTGGGAATTGGACTAGTAGATACTTCAGTTGTGGAGAAATTATTATCAACATGGTCGTAATCAAAATTACTAGCATATGTGTCTCGCTCATCTTCGACAATCATGTTATGCAATATGATACATGCTAACATTATGTGTTTCATTGTATTCACATGCCAAGCACGCGCTGGACCACGTATAATAGCGAATCAGGCTTGGAGCACTCCAAATGTCCGTCCAACATCCTTCCGTGCTGATTCTTGCGTCGGGCAAATAACTTTCTCTTTTCTCCTTGCGGCATAGGGATGGTCTTGACAAATGTTGCCCACTCAGGATAAATGCCATCCGCTAGGTAGTACCCCATATGATATGTTGTTCGATTCACCGAGTATTGTACTGCAGGAGCTTTTCCATTCAAAACATCATAAAACACATCAGACGTGTTTAGCACATTAATGTCGTTGTTAGATCCCGCAGTTCCAAAATATGCATGCCAAATCCACAAGTCTTGAGATGCCACAGCTTCAAGCATGATTGTGGGTTTACCATGATCACCTCTAGAAAATTGACCTTTCCATGCGACAGGACAATTTTTCCATTTCCAATGCATACAATCAATTGAACCCAACATACCTGAAAAGCCGCGTGTCGCGTTAATTTGTAGTAGGCGTGCAATGTCTTCATTGTTTGGCCTTCTCATGTATTGAGCACCAAATATTGTGCACACGCCTATTACAAACCTGTCTAAGCACTTCAATGTCGTGCTTTCTCCAATTTGAACATAGTCATCCACACTGTCAGCTGGTGATCCATATGCTAGAATACGAAGAGCAGTTGTGCACTTCTGCAATGGTGAAAGACCCATTCTACCCACTGCATCAATCCTTCTTTGAAAGTACTCATCATGATTTCCAAGAGCTTCAACAATGCGAAGGAACACATGTCTTCGCATACAGAACCTTCGTCTGAATTGAGCCTCCGTGTATACAGGATTTTTAGAGAAGTAGTCATAGAACAATCGATGATGCCCTTCTTCACGACTTCGATTTATCACCGTTCTTCTTTTTCTATGCTTACTTGTATTGTTGGCTTGTTGTTGCGCCTCTCGTACCAACCTTATCACATTTTCCTCAGTGTTGTCGTTAAGGCAATCATCTACGACTTCATTCCAGATTTTATCCCATTCAGCATTTGGATCCATGGAAGATATGATGAAAATAATATAATGGGAAAACATGTGAGGTATATATATGCTAGTTTTTTTATAACGGCTAGTTTTACAACAGCTAGTTTTACATAGCTAATTTGAAACATAGATACAAAATTAAAATAACAATCATTTAAAACAAAATTACAATAATATGAAATGCATATTCAAACCTAAACAACAACAACAATAATAATAATAATAATAATAATAATAATAATAATAATAATAATAATAATAATAATAATAATAATAATAATAATAATAATAATAATAATAATAACAATAATATTAATAATACACCTAGCTTCTCTTGAAGTACTTCTCCTTGATACTTTGACAAATTTCTTCATGCTCTCGGCGTTGCTCATCATCCATTGCTGATTTGTCCTTCATGAGAATTTCATACAACACGGGTATGCTCTCTGCCAACTTTGCTTCAGCTATTTTACCATAGATAGCTAATTTCTTTTCTGAGGCCAGTCAAATCCACTATGGGTGTTATAGATGGAGATGCTTTTCCCTTGCCCTTCCTTTTTGCCGCCTTTTGTCCTGCTGGGCGGTCGGTCTGAGTTGCATTGTTGTATTCTGAATAATCTATGAGATTTTCTAGATTAGATGACGATGAATATGTCCCGGTAGAGGATATTTTTGATCTCTTTGAAGAGTTGTTCATTTCTTGTCCCTTCCATTTAAGTTCATCCTTCAACAACCTCCACGTGTGCTCCATTGTGAAACGTTGATGATGCACTTGGACAAAATTTTTACGTGCCTCTTCCATGACGTCTGTCTCAGAATGTCCACTTTTCTTAGCAACAGCTAGTTTGTAGTTTCTGCAAAACCATTGACAATGTTTATTCAATAGATGCCATCGAGATTTGAGTGTAGACCACTCTTTCGCTATAAGTGGTCCACGATAGTTGTTATAGTCGGTAGAGAATGGTGGTGATTGAAACATAAAAGTTGGAGATTTTGAAAAATGTCACCAATAGGGAGCGATGGTCGCGGACACATTTGAAAAATTTGAGAACTGTCACCGGTGGGAGTTTGTAAATAATTATAATAAGAATTACATTGGTTGGGATCCATTTGATGATTAAATAAGATTGGAAATTGAAAGAAAAAAATTTAGAAGTAAAATTGTGTGTAAAAAAAATTAAAGTTTCTATAGAATTTATAGAAGATAAAAAATAGTAATATGACCGTTACTATTTTTAAATATCATGTCGTTATTTTAATACCGTTGAAATATTTTATTAATATTAAATAATATTATAATATATTTTATATTGAATAGTTAACGTTAACAATATAGATAATGAAAACTAAACTTTAATTTATTAAATGTCATGTCAGCTCTACTATAATGCAAATTCTTTATTCCTAACGTAAGCTTTACAAAATTTTGGTTTAACAACAATGCCTTAGAATTACTCTAAATCTTATAAAATTCACATCAACTTTGACTAACTCAAAAATTTAATTGAAAACTTATATAATTCACAGACTTGATTACAATTATTTAATTTAAAAATTCTCAAATGATTTAGGAAGCTCTGAATTGACTAAACCCATAAAATAAAACTAAGATTAATTAATTTTTTTAAACCAAAAGTTTTCAAAAGCAGTATGAACGTCTTCTTAATGTATTGAGCAGAGGTTACACACTTTAGATATTCAACAAATTAATATGTCACTTTTGTTTTATTAAACACACCTAACACAACAAACCAACTAAAATATTTTTTTCACCGCTGCAAATATCTGAATCGATTAATTTAGTTCGAAAATTAATTCTGACATTAAATAATTTTAATTATAATCATAAAAGATCGAACAGTAATTTTTTATATTAAATTTAACGTCAATCATCATTTTATTAGACAGATGCCTAGAAATAATTAATATAGTAAACAGGAGGAGATGATCCGAATGTGAATGGTATCAAAACGGGGTAGCTTGGAAGCGTACGCAACGGGAGGTGTCACTATGCCGTTCGCCGCATGGTTCCATTTTTTGGCCTTTTGTTTCTGTTTTGGTCTTATGGTCTGCATATTTTCTACATTTCAATGCTGTCACAACCTAACCACACACCACATTTCAACATCGTTCATGTAAGCCACGTGGGGTAGGATCTACTACTCAACTCTAACCTTTTTCTTTTTCAGTCTTCTAATGCTGCTTTTCTTAATCATTTTATTTCTAGTATTATTCTTACCATTGTTTTTTAACGGGGGACTAAAGGCCTAAAAGAGAAAATAAATTATTACTTTCGTCTCATAAAAAAGTGTTTTATTTATATTTTCTTTATGATTTAAAAATAAATAACACGTGTGAAATGTTGTAGTATATTTAAATTCATAAATAAATAACACTTATACATTTGAATTTGAAAATAGGTAATACTTTGTGAAGTGTCACACAATACAAAATAGTGCAACCTTTAAAAATTGTTTTTGTAGATAAAATCGTGCAACGTTTAAAAAATGTTGTTGAATGTGTGTTTCATCAAGGGTCGCAACCTTATGAAACAATATCAGTTTGGCGTATAAATTGAGCATTCTAGATTTAAAAAAATAGATTAGAAAAGTCTATTTTCTTCACACAAAACTCAAAATTTCATCTTCCATAAATTCGAGTTTTCGTCAGTCTTTTGCAAATTCGAGTATAAACTGAATTATCTTGGGTATTCCTGCGTATAAACTATGAGACAATTTGATAGTGCTTGAAATACTATAACGAAAGTGATTCGTTCACGATTATAACCTCAATTCATTTAATTTAAATTAATTTTTTAACAATCTTTTAATATTTTGTATCATGGTAACCGAAACTTCCATTTCAAACATCAAAGAAAATCTATTGAGTCGTTGGCACATTTTAAACCTAAGAAAAATTTCAATTATATATTCAAATATGTTTTATTATTTCTCATAAAAAATTAAACTTATGTGAAATTAATATTATCAAATATCCAAATACAAAATTTACTAACCATTAATATTAGTGGTTACCAATATTTTAATGTTTTGGTAATGAATAATGGATATAAAAAATGAACATATAATTCATATATAATTGAAACAATAATTGTACAAAATTAAGATCATACATTAGTAACGTTAAACATCAATATCAATATAAATCAGTAGTATGTATTATTACTTGTAAGGATTAAAATTTTGAAAAATAATTATAATTGAAACAATAATTGTACAAAATTAAGATCATACATTAGCAACGTTAAACATCAATATCTATATAAATCGGTAGTATGTATTATTACTTGTAACGATTAAAATTTAAAAAAATAATTATATTATATTAGAGTTTAATTGATATTATATTAATAATTTAAAACGTAATATGACGAAATATATGATAGTGATTAGATAACAATGTAAAATTAATTTACAGATGTTCTATTTTTTTGTTATATTATATTTTACTGAAATTATATTTTTTAATGTCTTAATATAATTGAATTCCTACGTGATAGCGGAACTTAATTGAATTTATTATAATTGCATAAAGTTGTCTTTCAAAAGTTCTTTTTAGTTTATATACACTCTATGCATATTCTATGTGTATATCTGATTTGTTTTGATTATAAAAAGTGAGAGAATAAATTATATTATTAACCAGAAACAATTATATATAAACTGCAACATAATTACATATGCATCTATGCTTGTTAATTATTCATGAATGTTTATGTAAATTGTCTTTTCTGCAAATTGTCTTTTCTCATGTGATTTTTAAATTGAAAGTTATAGAGAGAATATAATATTGGTGTAGTTATAAGATAAATAGTAGCATGAATATGATTTAAAATATAATCCTTTTTCAAGTTATGGAGAGAATATAATATTAGTGTATTTATAAGATAAATAGTAGCATGAATATGATTTAAAATATAATCCTTTTTCAAACACACGGTATCGGTGATTTTACCGAAGACTTTTGCGTTTTTTTAAAAATTAATATGCATAAAGGATAATAATTGTGTCATTTGAATTAAATTGGTAGATAGCTAAATTGAAATTGAAATTTTTAAATTTTGTATTTGTTAGTTACCAAAGAAATGAAATTCATTAAAATTTATAATTCAATTGTAGTGAATGATACCATTAAAATATATTTTTTATTTATTAAATTTTGAATAAAATGTTGCACATATATTTTTTTAAATTACTTATTAAAGTTAGAATTTTGATAATCACTAAAGTGATCAGATTAATTAAAGTTTATAATTTTAAATTATGCAATTGAACTATGATATATATGGTATATGAATTGTTTATGTTCGATTAAATTTATCATTAGAAAGATCATTTGAAAATAAATGATGATTTATATAAAATTTTGAATTTGGAGTCTAATCTAATTATTGAATTCAGAGATGTGAAATTCTTTGAGAACTTTATCACAAAGGATAAGGAGTCAAAGTTTTTTATAAATGAAGAATCTCGTGAGAAAGGTTCTCTACAGATTGTTAAAACACAAATCGAAAGTTCATCACTAATGAAGAATCTCGTGTGAAAGATTCTTCATGGATTTTTAAAAAAACAACCCGAACTTAGAATAAGTAAGAGAGTCCAAAAGGCTAAGAATCTAGAACCGAACAAAATTGATAGTCAGTTTATTTATTTTATTTAATGGAAGGAAATAATAAGTATTCTGTTCGTAAGATTCTTATTATTCTTCAAATGGAAGATAATCCTAAGACTTATAAAGAAGTAATAGTTTCAAGGGACTCCTCTTGTTTAGAAGGAAGTATCATAGTGTGATGATACACTAAACACCTATAAGTCTAGATTAATGACCAAGGGTAATTTAAAGAACGGGTGTTTTTCATTTGACACATATGCACTAGTAGCAAGCACAATAAAAATTAGAGCATCGCATGCATTAGCTTCTTTGCATAACCTTATAGTCCCTACAATGGATGTCAAAATAACATTCCTAAATAGAGATCTCGATCAGGATATTTA